ATACCAACTGCAGCTAATTATAAACATGTCTAGTTTTGTTTGTTTGTTTGTGTGATGCTCAGGGTGGAATTTATGGCCTATCAAGTGATCTCTATCCCAAACCTGAAAACTTTTACTTTATAACTCTAATTGACAACAAATGTTCCATATACAGGAACTGGGCATAGTGGCACATTGTATAATCCCAGCACTCAGAAGGTTGAGGCAGGAGCATCACCACAAGTTTGAAGTCATCTTGGTCTACATAGCACGTTCCAGGCTAGTCAGGGCTACATAATGAGTCTCTGTCTCAAAAAGAAAAAAAAAAGTGTGTTTTAATAATTTCTCAGTATAATTCTCTATCTCTTGAAACAACCTGCATAACTAATTTTTAAAGAATTATTTACTACTACATATATATTTACCACAACAGTTTTTATCAATTCTATGGTATATTATTCTAAAAAAACATTTAACCAAGTCATACTCTGTTCTGATCAGAGTAGCAGGACTGCCCCCAAGTGAACACACACAAATGCGACGCAAAGTGCTCAGCCTCTGGCGCACTCTGATTTGTTTCTCAAGAGTTTGCTGATCTTGATTGAGGGGGAGGAAACACTAAACTGCTTCTTTGGTATAGAAAAGATAAACTCATTCTATAATGCAGGGTGCATTGTTAGTATAAAAAGCAGAACATGTAACTGTTTCTCTGATGAGATTTCTCTGGGATTTTAGGTACTATCTAGACCAAATCAGTTATTCTTTCCTTTGGGGTTTTGGAGATGGAGAGGAGGGGTAGAATTCTAGGAGTACATATTCAGTGGAAACAGAATAAATGGATTTCTTTAATATTGGTCAAGTCGAGAAACAATATGTATAAAAAGTAAACCTGCTTTAAGGTTTGTTAAAAAATCAGCTTTCTATTAAAAGTTAGTTTGGATTAAGATTTTTACCAAATCTTACCAAATAGTTTTTGCTATTAATGTTACTTAACTAATATTCCTAGGCCCAAATACTTAAAGAGATAGAGGAGAGAGACAGAGAGAGAGAGAGAGAAAGAGAGAGAGAGAGAGAGAAAAACAAAAACAACTTTGCCCTCTAGACAATCTGTAAGTCCCACCAACATAAGTCCTATCCCATTGTCTTAAAAACAAAATGTTTTCCTTTAATCCCTTCACAGTTCAAATGAAGTTTTCTTTTTTCTCTTGCCAGTATCTATAGTAAGCGATATGTAATTCAAGATGTAAAAGAGACCTCGGAAAGTACTTTTAGAGAAATAGCTCATCTTTTAAAAAGCTATTCAAAAAAGAACAAGAAACAGCAGATATAAAGGAACATAGGTCACACTGCCATGCACAACAGGACCAGTAAATGATGTAAGTGTGACTTACATTGATAAAATCTTTTGCCACAGTGAACCCCAATAACATTTAAAATGAACAAAAAAACAGTCTTCTAAATATTCCTAAAGGCAGTGTGAAGTTAAAAGCATTATCTGCTTAATAGTACAGAGCTTGTCTCAAAGAGGACAGGATGTACTTAAGATCTCTCATTTGGTCTTCCTAGTAGCAAAGCAACTTTCATTAATATGCAATATATAAACAATAGTGATTTGAAAGAAAGGACAGGACCACTGCTGCTGGCAGAATGGGATCTTTTGCAAGGATGAAGGCAGACTCCATGAAAACATTTTAAAAGCATACTCTTAAAAACTTAAGAGCAAATAAAACCTTTTTAATTTATAATGAAAATAACTGTCTAAATTCTTTAGCAAATTAGATACATATTCCCTAATTTTTCAACACTTATTTTTAAAATTATACTTAAATATTTGTGTACAAAAGACACAGTGAGTCATTTCTCAAGTTGTCTGACAGAGCCAGTGGAAGGCCTCTGCTTTTCTGTGTCACCAGAACAGCTTTATATATTCATTTTCTCTTTTGAAAACTTTAAATGCCAGACACATTTTTAAAAAGGACAAAATGTTTAACAGCTTTATATATTCATTTTCTCTTTTGAAAACTTTAAATGCCAGACACATTTTTAAAAAGGACAAACACAGTTGATCTTTTCATCACTACAATCTTCTGAAGTAGAACTGATTGATGACTACTCAAAACAATCAAAATTGGATATCCTGGTTTCCAATTCTAATGTTTCACCAGTTATTACTACGCAAATGATTGATATACTTAACTTGATGATTTATTAAAATTCCCAATCCAGAACAAATTGTTAAACATGAAATAAAAACAAAGAAAACAAAATGAATATTTTGTGCCAATATTTGTATTTAAAGCTCACTAGCCTACACAGGTTCTACAGAGACATAACCTTTCCAAATTCTTAAAATATATATACCAAATGAACTTAAGCCAAAATAATAAAATGCATGCATGTGTGCGTCTGTGTTAGGGGCTCGGGTGGGAAGAGCAGAGATAAGAACCATAAAAGGAACTCATAGTCAGAAGTAAAGGCATAGGACCTTCAGAAGTTTACTTGGGACCATGGAAGCACCCACTCTTTGTGACACGGACTATTACAGCAATAATGTTGTGGTAACTTGAGGCTGCTGACTCTTTAAACTTTTTATACTTCTTGATTATAAAGCCTACATTTTGAAGGAATTTGAAGTAAACTGGTGAGAGAAAATCATATCTAGACTTTTGGGACCTGGACGAATAAATTCCTTGAGGCTTTCTAAAATTAAATTTTAAAATCATACATGTCATTTAGAAATAACCAGCACTTCTTTACACTGAAAACCTTCAGATTTCATTTTCCAAAGTATTTCCTGACCACAATAACAAGGCACATACCTTTGCTTCCAACTTGACGGTGATTAGATGCTCTCTACCAGAAGCATCTTCTGCTTTTAACTTGATGGTACTGAAGCAGTTATCCACATACACAAGTCTGTGAGCAGAAGAGAATAAGAAACAATCACACAGAGGTGGCTATGGGGATGGGGGGAGGATTGTGCAATTAAAAATTAAAATATCTGCTTTATTCTTATTACTGCGGTGCAAAAATTAATCAGAAATTTCTGCATGCAAACCTTTCCTACCGCTATAGATTTACTGTGGTTAATACATCAGCCTCGTGCTTAATGCAGCCATAGATCTCTGGGTTATTTACAATGTGTGTCAAGGCTCATGCTGTGGTCAGTGAGCACTGTGTCTCGCTTTTCCATCACTGCAACCTTTGGCACACACAGCATGTTTCTGTCAGCCTCTACTTATGTACACATTAAACTTCCTGTCAGACTCTTTGATCCATTTCTCTGCTTTCATACAGAATGAGATTTTTATGCTTCCTTTATTTGTTTTTCTCCTCAATGAACCTCTCCTTTGTTATCAATAATGTTTGCATACAAAAATCTAGCTGATATGAGTTCATATACTCAAAGCGAACCTCTGAGGAAAGTGCTGTGTAAGCACAGGTACAGGCTGGTCTCTTCATAATAAATTTTGTTTTTACACAATATATAGCTTCTGACACTTAACCTAGGCATGTATTCAAGATGACTAATATTTTAAACACATACCTCAAACCCAATTGTTTTGGCACCAAAATGCTCTAAATAACATGAATTCTCTACAATGGAAACCAATATCCTTTGAAATACATCATTCTGTAAAAATATGTTCCCTTGAGTAGCACAAGCTACTGCCAATGTGGTTCAAATTTAGCAGTGTATTTACTAGTGCACTGGGCATGTGGATATTTTTTGACATTTTTACAATACTATTCTCTTGTTAAGATAAAAAGTCGACTGAGAGCATTAGGCAATTTATCACCCAGACTGATGGTGTGAACCATTACAGTTCAGAACCAACATCTGGCCTTCTAAACTAGGTGGCTTGCCCTTAATATCACTATGAGCCATTTAGGTGCTGAGCAGGAATGATAGCAAACTGAAGTCCATGTTGGGCAGTGAAGGTGTGGCGCACTAATGAAAACCAGATACAAGTCTGAGGGAGATCTGTGTGTGTGTGTGTGTGTGTGTGTGTGTGTGTGTGTGTTAAATAATGGGTTAAAAAGTAAAGCAAAACATCAATAGGTAAAGGTTTATCATATCAGTTAAAAGAAAGTCTATGGTCTTAGAAAAGAGAGGAAAATAAAATTCTTAGAAAAACTTTGTCTATATGGTTATATTTTTTCCACCTATATCTATAAAAACCTTAAGATTTCCACTTCCAAAGTATCAGAACATGAGTCTTTATGAGTCTTTATCACATTTTATCCTGGGTTCTGAAAACTACACATGAGACTCAAAAGGCTGATAAGCATATGCATTTTATATTTCCTTCTATTTATAAGAAAATATTCACTTAAAAATAAGGGGATATTTTTAAAGTATGAAATTCCAGATATGAAAAGAACAAGGAAAAGCATTAATTAAAGCAAAAGTTTGACACATTTTAAGAAAAAATACAGTTTTAAACCACTTCCAAAGTATCAGAACACGAGTCTTTATGAGTCTTTATCACATTTTATCCTGGGTTCTGAAAACTACACATCAGATTCAAAAGGCTGATAAGCATATGCATTTTATATTTCCTTCTATTTGTAAGAAAATATTCGCTTAAAAATAAGGGGATATTTTTAAAGTATGAAATTCCAGATATGAAAAGAACAAGGAAAAGCATTAATTAAAGCAAAAGTTTGACACATTTTAAGAAAAAATACAGTTTTAAAAGCACTGGCTGAGAAAGAGAAAAGGAGCTCTGGGTGACAGCCAGCCAAAGGCAAAGCAAAACCTCGAAGAGCATGACTGTGCGCCACAGAAGTCACAGGCATTTCTTTCTAATACAAGAAACCAAAAATGGAGAATGCAATTTTAAACTAATCAAATACAACACAGCTACATGGGGAAAAGTACAAATGTTCCACCGTTAACTTTTTGGTGAAAAGATTTATGTAATCAAAAAAATTAAACCACACCTTATAACTTTCTGAATCTAGCACGACAAAAAGAAAAGAATTACAGCTATAGAAACTGATGCAGATATTCTTGACTACTGCGATTTGGAAGATGACAAAAATGGGAAGTACAAAAAAATCAAGAATGAAGACTAGAAACAATAAAATCTGTAATTGCTAATTTGTCAAGAATAAAGAGATCAATATTTAATTGAGGTGACCTGACAATGAGTTAAAATATATATAAAAATTAAAGAAACGTAACGAAGGATGAGATTAGGTAGAATATGAGCTGACCCTTCATATTACAATAATCAGTATATGACTCCTAAGACTGACAAGCCACGAAATACTCAACAGAGACAGATTAGTCAGAACCATGGGAGTTATAAGAGGAACACTGTAAAGTGTTTGTCTCAAAGTAAGACCAGAGCTAGAAAAAGGTGGTCAGTTTCCCATCATAAGCCCCAATCTCTAGCTGTGAGGGTGTGTGCAGGTAAGGAGAGTGGTGAGGAGGACACAACCAAGCATGAGCCAGCACCACATACTTCACACAGCTGCTCACCACAAATGCTCAAAGTCATTACTGAACATCTATAAAATCAGACAAATATAGAAGCTCTAGTCTTTTGTTTACAATCATAAAAACAAAACAACATGATTCCACATTTAACACATGAAGGTACACCAGAGAATAACAGTGCTGTGTTAAAAACCACAGCCTTTGAGACAAAATGGCCATGAAATTAATTTTGATGAAATGTAAAAAATATGGGGCTGGAGTGATGGCTCAGCAGTTAAGAACACTGGTTGTTCTCGCAGAAGATCCAGGTTCAAATCCCAGCACCCACATGGCAGCTAACAACTATCCATAACTCCAGTTCCAGGGGATCCAACAGCCTCTTCTGTCCTCTGTGGGCATTGCACAACACGGGTGCACTTACCTACATGAAGGTAATACACGCATACACATAAAATA